CTCAAAATATTTGTATTTCATGTAATAGCCTGTGGATAAGATAATTGATTCAAGTTTCTCGATACGGAGAGAAGCTTTAACTGATTATTACAGTCCTTTTGTTTCACATGTTTTAAAGCTCCCCTTTATATTCTCTTTCTCCTGTTTGAGGAAGGGCATTCTGTCTTAGGATCTAAGTTTACATTTTCTATCAAAGCTCATTTAAGTTCACCCAGCAACTTGGGAGTTAAAGTGAGACATCGTGATAATTGCACAGAGCCACACAGGTTGGCTGCATTAGCAAAAACAAACTAAGTGGCCTGGGAAGGAAAATGAAAACCCGTTTTCAAGTGCTGGAGTGAAAACAAATACATACATCCTGTAGTATTTCTTCAACAGCAGTTTATAATTACTTCTCTTCAAGGTCTATTTTAAGCAGACTTAGAACAGTAGCTTGAAAAGTAAGCTAGCAAGCGATCCAGTTCTGTAGACATGGCGGCGGAACAAGAAAAGAGCGGCCCCATGGGAACCAGGGCCTGGTGGTCCTTCTGAGAGTACGCCCCAGTGCCTTAGTCTTTAGGTCTCCCTCAAGTCGGCCATGGGAAGCCTTTGATGGCACAGAGGTGTTTTTTATACAGCACTGTATCATTTAGCTGTTGAATTACAAATTACCCCCAAATGTGGGGCTAAGCCATTTAGCATTCACAGTTTCTGCGGGTCAGGGATCCAGGGGTAGTTCAGCTGAGTCCTCTGGGTCTGGGTCTCCCACAAGGTGACAGTCCTTTAAAGGCTAAGCATTCACTTTCTAGTTCACTCACACCAGATTATTAGCCAGTTCAGGTCCGTGGGCACTCTTGGCTGGAAGTTTCCCTCAGTTCCTTGCCACCGGCCCTCTGGGTTGAGATTCTCACACTACAGCACCTTGTTTCATGAGCGAGGGAGGGAGACAGCAGGCGAGCGAGCGCTAGCAAGAAAGAAGTCCCAGTCTTTTGCAACATAATTCTAGAAATGACATCCTCTCACACTGGCTGTATTCTACTCATTAGAAAGAAAAAAACTAGGTCCAGCCCACTCTCAAGTGAGGGTAACCGGAGCCAGGTCAGAAGCTACCTATCAAAAACGTGATGCCGTCATATTCTTGCCACGCCCGACTAATAAGCCTGTAGTGAATGAACTGTGACATGAATATTGTGTATATTTACAATGCTGAATACAGCTTATGGAAGTACTGATTTGGGGGGGCATGGAATGTGGTCCCCTTTATGTATCAAATTGGCTGAAAAGTGCTGAGCTGAGCTTACCTGACCCCGGAAGACCAAGGAAAGAGGTTTTCAGGAATGGCTGGAGTCGGGGTGCCTGTCTGAGGTCATGGAACGGAGTGAAGATAAGCAGCCCTCATGGCTTTATTAGGATGATACCCTAAACACAGAGACCAGAGGGCCCTCAGATTATATTTCATTATGTGTTGTGAGGTTTTGATTGGTACTTTGCGGATCATTAGGGGGAAGGGACCCTGTGGTTGGATTTATAAAGTTGCTATTAAGATCACGGAATGGGAGGTTGTACTTGTGTTAATGGTCCCGTGCCCCTACTGCCAGCTTCTGGACTCCAAATGTACATTTTCAGCAGTAAACTGTGTAAAGGGATATGGATTTGGTTTATGAGACAAATGGTTAAAACAGGAGTTGCATTTCACATTTTAATTTGACAAATTCTGTTAGAAAATCCATGCATGTTTATGGGAAGAGTTCAAGTCTAGGTTTTCTTTACCTGTTGCAGGTTAATACTTCTTTTTGGTTGCTGAAGCTCCATTGTGGGAACTTAGGGAGGAAATGTTTGAATTCTTTTGTCCCAGTTCCTATTGATTGGCTTCTACAGGCTCTGAAGCCTCGATAAAATTCCCTCTGATAGACATGTCTGGGACATCCTCCCCCTCCCGGACCAAGCTAAGTCCATGCAGACCTCAGTTACCGCAGCGATCCCTCATGTGATTCACATTCATGTCCCCAGCTGGGATAAGCACAGCACAAGGACAGGAACCATGTGTCTGACACACCTTTGTACCCCTGGTACCTAACAGGGAAGCCGAGCATAGCAGGAATTTTAAAGCTTTTGAACGGATGGGTGAAGTGGTTAGTAATTATGATCAGTTTTCAAATCTTCCCTGTTAATTTTCTAAGGAAAGTAGCATAACAAGTAATAAAATTTAACTAAGATAGTGTTGGTCATTATAAACTGGTGTGGCTCTATAATTATAGGGATATTACCTACACTCCTGAGACAAGCCAGGCACATTTTCAGTTTTCTACTCCCTCGTGTCCATCTGCAGTTCTTAATTGATCCTGGGAGGATTTTCTTTGTAACCTCACTTGTGTGACTGTTAAATTTTTCAATTCCTCTGTTATTTGCTGATCCTAATGCTTGGTCCACTGCTTTTTGTTTACTTGTGACTGGTAAAGCACTTTTAAGATTACATTAGATCTTCAAATATTACTAATTAATAATCCTAAGTGTTTTGTTCATTTTATAAAGGCATCCTACATTTGTCATCCCAGGGGCCTGGGGTTAAGAAACCTGGAACATAATGTGGAATAAAGCCAGACTCTTACTTTTTAAAATCTTGCATAAAAACTTTTTATGCTTTGTGGTTTGATTTTTGTTTCTTGGTGTGGTAAATGAGGAGCCCAAGTTATACTGCCCTGGCCTGGCCTACCCTCTCAGGTTAGCTGTAGGGGTTAAGAATTGATTTCATGAGCTCAGCCCAGAGGTTGTGGAGTTAACTGATTTAATGTCACCTGCACTGTGTACTCACATTATATGTTTTTATTCTTTGTTCATGAGTTTTTCTAAGGATTAGAGTATAAACAGTATAAAGTGTCAGTCATGTTATAGTTAACAGCTTTTCTGGTGATAGGAGAGGAAGAAGTCATGGAGAAGCGAGATAGGCAAGAGAGGCTTTTATTTTATTTAGGTACATTATATTTTTATGTATGTTTATATTTTATGATCTTAATTTACAGAAGGCTATAACTCAGCCTGGAGCTAAAGCTAACTGTCCATCTCTCAGAGCTGGTGAGGGAACTCTCCTCAGTTTTTCCTAAAGAGAGCTTATCATTTGTTGCTGTTCAGTTATTCCAGTGCGCCCTACACTGATTTTTATGTACTGGACTTACAGAATTTCTGCTACCTATAAATCTGAAAGACCTGTAAAAATTCCCAAGAAGTACCCCCACTTGATGCGGCCGTGAGCCTATTGTATCTTGCAGTGTCTTTGGTACAATCCGTTCCTGCATGGGGCAAATCGAGTTCACGCTCAAGGCTCAGGCTCCTAGGGAGTTCATCTCAGCTCAAAAATCCACAGAATGGCAGTGTAAATATCCATGTGTCACTTTTTCACACCACCTCTTGTGAATAATGAGACATAAACTATCTCAAGAGCCGTGGTTTTCCTAATGAATTGGAGTCACCTATGTGTACTGTGTTTGTGACATGCACATTTGCAGTCGGGGTCCACAGGAAGGACAGCATTTCCTGGATCCAACCACAGAGTGCAAATACTGTGCCCTAAATAACACACTAGTTACTGTAAATGTCAGTAGAGGGGGTTTTCCCGACTTTGATTTAATAAAAGCCTACAGCAAAGCCAGCTGTTAGCACTTCTTAACTGCTGGTCAGAGGGGCGAGGGGGAGGGGCAAAATCCTCTTTTCTGTATACTTTAGTCTTAGAATTAAGAGGTTTCAACAGGTGTTGAATAGCGACACTAGGGGTCCTTTACAGCTTGATATCTTTTAGGTGGTGAATTTATAAATTTCCCAGCACAGGGATCCTGGAGTTACCGGAGGAGATTCATGTAAAATTAGTTTGGAGTTTGCATCTCAAATCCCCTCACCTAAGAAATAAGCATTTTCATTGTCTGGGCTCCCATGAGGAATAGTAGAAGATAAAAATAAAGGAGAGAGAAAGCGTACCAACCGCGGGTCCTGTCTTTGTCACTGCGGGTGTCTCACCAAACTCACTGTAAGCCGTGAGAGTTTTTGTTGTTGTCATCTGCATTTTCTGAAGAAACCACTTGAGGCAAACACAAGGGGGGGAAACTATGCAGCACTCCTTTATCATTTTTGTCCTCTAGAACGCCTTTAGTAAACGGATGAGATCGTTAAGGGTCTTACTGCCCATGGAAATCCCTTTGACATTATGCTATGTGTACTGAGGGGAGATAATCTTTCCAGCGCAGAGAAAGTTTACAGTCTTATTATCTTGAAGAGAAGAAGAAAGTTTCTTCCTCAAATGAATTATAACTTGAAACATGTTATGTTATGTTTTGGTAAGCCCACTTTATTACTTCCATCCTTCTCTGTGGCAAATTTTTTAAAAATAAATGTACCATTGCACCGTAGTGCTTTCTCAGTAGCATATTGTACTTGTAATATAGCATGATGGAAGTTGCTGGGCTCAGTTTAGTCCTATAGAATGCAGAGCCAAGTTCTGAGTAAAACCTCTAATTGAATTACCTGCAAAGCACTGACAGACAGGGTTTCAGGACAGACAAAGCTTTGCTTTCCCCAGCAAAAATAGGTCATGTTTAAGTTGGCCTTGTAACTATTTGTTACTGGTTTTTGCCAGCACTTTCACCTCGGGCCCCTTTTCCTGCAGGAGACCGGGAGTGGCTCTGTGACTGCCGGCCGGAGGGCTCAAGCATTATCTTCTTATTTTCGAGAAAATTGATAACAGATCAAGTTAAATGGAAGAGCCTTTGAAATAAAAATCCCAAGTATTTTTCTGTAGATTATACCAACATTCTTGCATGAGTCTTTACTGAAAAGAAAAGCCAGGGACAGGAAAGTAGCCCTTTCTAGCATTCTTTATCAATCTGAAAAGTATTTTTGTTTTAACTTCTGGGAAAAATTAGAGTATGCTCCTGTAGTTCATGAAAGAATGTCTTGTAGAGCATTTGCATTTGAAAATGAAGAATAATCCGTTGTCGCTCTCTCCTTTCTTTCTCTTTTTGTCTCATCCACAGCCTCTGCAATCCCAGATAATGGCAGAAGGTCCTGTCTAAAGCTCAAAGTCTTTGTGAGACCAACAAGTAAGTTGACTAGAATGAGCTCCAGAAGGTGGCTTCACCGCGCATGCTCTATCGTGTGGTCTGGTTCACCGCGGTACAACTTTTTTTACTGTTAAATCCTGTGTGGTACCTGTTTTGTATATCAGCATCCATGTTTTAGTTTTCATCATATTTTTTCTCATCATTCTTCATGATGCTTTTATTTTGAAGTACACAGCAGTTGCTAACTTGTTGTTTCTTAGACTGTTGTACGTGCACAGCAAATGGGAACAATATTGGCATTTGGATACATGCCATTGATTGTAAAACAATCTCTACATAAATTAAAGGAGACAATAGAGAGAAAGAAAAAAAAGAAATGGGAGTTTAAGGGTGTCTTCACTAACATATTTGGCTGTTATCTCTATTTTTGTTATAGATAGCTGTATGAAAACTATAGGTGTTCATGATCGTGTTTTCGATGTTAACGACAAAGTAGAAAATTCATTAGAACCAGCAGGTTAGTATGCTTAGAGACTCTTCTTTTAACAAATGCATCTCTCTCTGGTGCTTCCGTACTTTTTTTCCTTTCTTCTCCGCATGTTTGCATGTTATAGTTGCTCTGCTTTTGCTCATTGCTAGCGATGCTAATATTACTTATATTCTACCTCATTCCTCCAGTATCTTTGTCTAATGCATGTTAGATAAAATATGACCTTTCTTTTTTTGGACATGGGTTTGATATAATGCAGTATCCTAATATAGAAGCCCCATCAGAATGCTAAAATCTCACTGCTTTTTACCATATCCTCCGAGCATGCTGGTGAATCACTGTGAATATTAATGGCTCTGTTTTCATAGAAGACAGGAAAAAAAAAAAATTCTATTGTTTATGTTTTTATATTATGTCCAGTAATTAAGACTATTGCACAAAATAGCTAACTCAACGTATTTAATTTTCTCTGGCAATTCACATGCATCATTGAACTGATCTAAAGACCTTTAGTACATTTCAGATATTCTTTGTGCTATTGATATCAATAGCAGTTGGTCTGGAGAAGTACAATCATGTTGCCTAACACCACAAATTCACACACGTGTTACTTGCACAAATGAATCAGTAGTCTGTCCAACCAAATGTGATCCTTGACTGCTGAGGCAAAATAAGTATTAAGGAGAAATTTTTTTTTTCTACTCCTACATTCCACACACCCAAACTTTCCCATCACTGAAGAAACCTAAAACCCACACAAGCACTCATTGAAACATTTACACTGTAGTGTACTGTGGGTGAAGTGGCCCTATACTATCCATTTGGTTAGAAATTCAACTAGACACTAGGATAGGAGCTCTCTATCCACTGTGCACTGAGGACCGTGCCTTGATGCCCCTGTATACCTACCTTCCTATGGTTTCCTCTCTTTGCCCTACCTGCTTGAGATCTTGACTGGTTTCCTTACCCAACTCCCGCATCCATCTCAAAGCTTAATGAATTAAAATGATTTCTTCTTCACAGAAAGATGTGAGCCCCCCCCAACCTTATGTGAACAGAGATTTTTTTCTTTCATCTATTTGTAGCAGCACTTCTCTTTTTTATGGCCCTAGTAATTAAAGGGTTGTGAAGTCCACTTTATCTTTTGAGTATTGTTACTAGGACATAGCCAGGGAGCCTTAGGGAAATTTACCCTGAGTAAATGCGGTGCCTCAGGACATACAATAGCTTTCACATTGTAACTGACAGGAAGAGTTAGAAAAACAAGAATGCTTGGGGAAAAAACCTAAGGCAGGCATCTTACCCCAGCACAAATGGGAGGTGTGTAGAATAAAGCTCTGAGAGGCCTTCTTGACTCCCCAGGGATCAGTTAGCTGCTTTAGAAAGTTGCAAGGAATGAGTGCTCACATGGAGATATTTTAATTGAGTCCTGGAAATCTGGAAGCATTACTGGGACTTTTCAAAGTACCAGACTCCTTCCAAAGCTCGAAGACTTGGTCCATCTTAGGGTCTTTGAGTTAGATGGGCTCTCTTCTAAGGCCCACAGAGTCTACACTTGCCCCTTGATAACTGAGACTTGCCCAGGCCTCATCACTAGTAAGAGACTGATCCAGGTTTAATATTCAAATTTCTTGACTCCCATTCCAACATGAATAGAAAAGGAGGATTCTCTTACCATTAGTAGACACGTAGATCTTCATAAAGAGAACTTTATTGGAAATGTTAATAAGTCATGTGTAGAATGACGGACCGAGTTAGGCGTGTTGTAAACCTAAGTTATCCTGAATTACGATTTTTTGATGCAAGTTGTGGTAGAATGTAGGCATATCTTTCCAATAATCTTTTTTCCAGGTAAACTCCATTGCCTATCAAGAAAGCAAGAGGCTGTTTAGAAACAACAGATTGCATGTTTTTCTTGGTCATCAAGAGATACACTGAGGACTATTCTGACACTAGGAAAATTACCTTTGAATTCAACTAATGATAAGATGCAAGATATTAAGATGCATTCGTACGTGAGCATATGTCACTGTCTTTGGGAAATAGGCTCTTTTTCCCTGAGCATTTAAAATCCTTGATGGCTCCCCAATCTATGCACATAGAACTGATGGAAGTTTGCAGAAGTCTGATGGAATGTGGTGTGTGTGTGTGTGTGTGTGTGTTGGGGAGTGGAAATGCAGGTGCACATGCATGGGTACGCAGGCAGGAAAAGCTCCTCCAGTCAGTCAAGACTATATTTACAGGCTTTCTTGTGAGCATCTTCGCTAAAAAAGTAAGACGAGGTTGAGCTACCATCCCTGGCTGTAGGAATGCAGTAATTTGTCCTGTTCCTCACAAAATTCAGTCAGACGTGTGGCTTTACACCCACCGCTGTGTTGGATGGTGGAGTATAGACCTAGACTTTAAAAATCCGGAAAGCCTGAAAGGATTCCACTGCATGTTCTCGGCAATGTGTACTAACTCACCTGTCTTTGGAATGTATTTGTCTTTTTTGTTTGCTTGCACACTCTGCCTGCCAGTTTCCTATCATCAGGGATACAGGATGATCTCAGGGCAGACATATGCCACAGAATATGCTCCAAAATATTGCTAGTGTTCTCTCAATTAACCATTGAAACCCTCAGACTGTGGAATCCTGGAGGCAGGAGGCAAGACTTGATTTGGTTTCTGAGGAGGAATATTTTCTTCCTTCAAGCCACATTTACCATCATGAGTCTTAGGAAGTCTCTGATGGTTAGATATAATTTCCACTGGGTGAGATTTTGCTTATGAATTCTTCCTTAGGATTCTGAAATTGCTCAGATTTACCCAAATGACAGCTAGTTTCTCATTTTGCTTCTCAGGGGCCGTAGAATCTTCCAACATTGAGGCCCTGTTAGAATTGAAGGATGCTTTGTAGAATCCTGAGCCAGGACCAGCATGTTACAGAGAGCAGAGAAGAACTGTATGGCCCTAGTGGGACAGATTTCCCCCTTTGAGGGTAAAATGACACTTACCGGCTGGTTGCTTAGAAGAGGGTTACTCTGAAAAATCATCCATGATTAGAAGACTGAAAAGTACACGTAACCTCATGCTTCACTTGTATGAAAAACGAAAGCTTTCCTCCTCTCCGTGTCCCACAAGGTCATTCACCCTGTCTTGTGCTGCCTGGAGCAATGGTTAGCCCTTGCTGAGCATCCTGAAAGGATAGGGAGGCATCTCGCCCTCCAGTTCACACTGACTACCTACTTAGGACTGGAATAACTTTTATCAGTACACATCTAGACTTTACAAGGAAGAGGATTGGGTAATTTGGTAGTAAAAATAAGATGGAGAAGAACCCAAGAGCTGATGTAATTTCAGGTGTATAAATGGCATTTCAAAATGAAATCTGGAAGGAAGCCTCAGGGTTTATGGTTTTTACAAATTAAACCCAAAGCACTCTATTATTCTGACTGACAACATATTGATGCTCTTAAGGTGATCTGGATTTTAATTTCAGGGCTTTTCAGGGCATTTCTATCTAATTCCTGTTACCTCCAGATCGAATACATTTGCCAGGCTGAAGAACAGAGAGAAGCGACCACAAGTAGTTGGCACCACGGGGGTGGGGTGGGGGGTGCTTTATAGTTTTTCCTCTGCATTCCTTTAACTTTGCATTCTTGCTCCCTAACCTTCTCTCTAGTCTTTTAAGCCAGTCGCCACCCCACACAGGTTTGCTCAGGTCCAGGGGAAGGGAGCAAATCAGACACAGGAATGCAGCAGCTACTACAGGAGGACAGGCAAAGAGCACTCCAGGGCAGAAGCCTTAACATGGAGCAGATAGATTGCTTAGCTCATACTGGGAATGGATGTGATGAACAGAGATAGCCTACCTGCGCATATCCGAAGCAGGGGCCAGCCCGTGCACCTGCAAAGTGGCCACTTTCGGACAAAGGATAGGGAGTGTGACGATACATAGTGAAAAAGAAAGCATCCTTATTGTGACATGTGGTGTGAAGATATAAATGAGTTTGAACTCAATGGTCCATTAAGGGGTTCTAAGTGGGTCATGTAGGGATACTTAGGGATTATCCTTTGAGGTCTACAGAATTGAGAAACCTCACTAGAGTCTCACTTGTCTCCACTCTCTGATTGACCGTTGAGTGAATATAAGATGACAGTCTCCTGAGCTTTTACAGGAAGGTCCCCTGATGCTGAAATAAAACTCTACCACTGAACCCCACCCTGGGCCCCAAGAACATGTGGTTCAGAGAACATGTAGTCTGAAAGCACAAGTTAAGCCCGGAGGAAGGAAGAAGACGGGCAACACGAGCAAAGCATGGCTCATAGGCAAGACGCCCATCTATCTTTGGGTACTAATTGCTGCAGAGTTCCTGTTTCAAAGTTAAGCCTGTTAATCATGCAGATCAGGAAGGCTATCCAAAGTCAGAGGCAGCCTGGTAGAACACTTTATAGCTAAATAAAAGAAGCTTACCTCCCTTAATCCCTTTTATTTAGAGGAAAATTTGCATCCACGCTGATAATTGATGTGCCAAGCTTCAGCCTGATAAAAATAAAAATAGTTAAGTTCAAGTAATTTAATCCTGGGGATACAGGGTTTGGAATGGAAATAGCACCATCATTGATTCCCAATTGTAGGCAAAGTAGTGGGCACCACTTACTGAGGTCTAGTGGGCATTACGTATAGTTAATTGAAAATGCCGTTCTGGCAAAAAAATAAATAAATGCGGTTTTGGCCTTTAATTTTTCTTAATTGAAAATTCATGTAGGTAACCAACCACCAAACATTCAACACTAATCCCGTGAAACAGGTGCAAAGAGAAAAACGGGCAGCCCCATTCTGATCAACCACTAACATGACAATGTAACTACACACACACACACCCCCACCAACATGTCACTTGCTTCTCCGTGGCATCTTGGGTTGAAAAGGGACCTTCAGACATCTCGGCTTTGTGCAAGGTGTGTTTGCTAGCAAACCAAAGTAGTAAACACATACCAAAGGTTACAGTCTGGGTACAATTTTTCCCCTCACTTTTTAAGGAACGTAATAATATTGCTGAAAAAGTCCAATTTTCTCTGCTTGTCCTTTGTTTGCTGTAAATACTGAGTGATTATGCAGACATGAAAGTCAATGGTGGCACAAGGTTCATTACCCTACTTTGCAGAGGGTGGCGAGGTCTGTTAACAGCAGGCTGCTGCGAGAGTTATTAAGGATGTGAAATCTCATTGGAATGTGTGCTTTCTCTTTGAACAGATGACACCGTACATGAGTCAGCCGAGCCATCCCGCGGTGAGAACGCGGCACAAACACCAAGGATACCCAGCCGCCTTTTGGCAATCCTACTGTTCCTCCTGGCGATGCTTTTGACGTTATAGCACAGTCTCCTCCCGTCACCTGTCACAGAAAGCATCAGGGTCTTGGAACACCGGAGATCCACCTAACTGCTCATCCTAAGAAGGGACTTGTTATTGGTTTTTTGGCAGATGTCAGATTTTTTGTTTTCTTTCTTTCAGCCTGAATTCTAAGCAACAACTTGGGGCCAGGAGGGCTCAAGTAGCTGCTGCTCCCCTGCCCTACCCCCCGCCCCCAGCCCTTGCCTTCTCTCATCCCTTCCAAATTGAATGGACTCCAGATGAAAATGCCCAATTGTCCATAGTGACACCAGTGGTCGTCAGCGCCTGTGCATTCTCCTCTAAGAGCCCACCTCCGTTAGCGTACTGTGACAGTGGTCTATGGACAAGGAGGAACGGTGGCAGATGTGGCTAGTGATGGCAAGGCCCAGGGGGGGTTTTCCTCTCCCATACAATATTTATGCCTTCTCATTCAGGACTGTAAGATGATCGTGCGGGGCATCATGTCACCATGTCAAGTCCAGAGGGGAGGTAGTAAGGACAGATATAATATTACACCCTTTCCTCTAGGAGTACATAAATGAACAGGCTTCCAAAAGGTTGAGACACTGGTTTGTTTTGTTTTGTTTTTTGGTTCTTGGGGGTTTTTTTGTTTTTTTTTGTTTTTTGCTTTTGTTTTTTGGGGTTATTTTTTTACGATGACTGTCTTAAAGCACTCTTGACAGCAAAACTTGTGCTCCACGAAAGCAGCCTTTTTTTCTAGAAAGCAGGTCGGGTGCGGGAATGCTAGCTAGCACAGAGCAAGGGTGAAAACAGAGAAAACTAGGTTTGGTGGGGGTGTGTACGTGTGAGTGCCTCTAATTTTTTTGGTGACTGGACAATGCACACCAGATTTTTTTTCCCTTGGAATACAGATCACCATGGTGCTACAATAATTTTTTTTAAAAAGAAACTCAAAGAGGCATTTTTATGAATAAAGTGACCTTCCCCAAGGCTGACAAGCCAGGGTTGATGAGTGTATAATGGAATAGCTCTGGATGCTCCTCTGGGGGACGATAGGTACCAAGGAAAGGAGGTCAGTGGCCAGAGGAGATGTGATTTGGCTTTGCTGGAGCGCCAGTGCGTGCTGTGGCCTTTCCCCGACTCCCACCCTAGTACCCACGTTTCGCTCCACACTCCACATCTACAGGGGCTCGGACACACAGCCCTGTCACCAGGAGAGTCAGTCAGCACTACTTGGGAGGGCTAAAGGGAAATTTGGAATAAAAATTCCAAAGTTTGGAATAAAAAATTCAAGTGTTGATTTTATATTCTTTCCCTTTCTGACACAGCCTGAAGCGTAGGGGGAACATGTGTTTATCTGTGGGAGATAAACAAGATGGAGTCCCAAAGACTTTAACAAAATATTTTTTTAAAAATCCACTAGAATAGAAAATACATTATTTAGATATACTTTATGCTGAGAGTGAGTATATATGCTTGTCCTATTTAAACTTGTGAGAAAAAAAGTGGTATCCCTTGATACATTTAGAAATATAGGGGGCTATCTTGTTTCATTGTCGGGGTGGGGCAGAAGGAGAATAAACGCAAGACGACCCTGTTTGAGGAATCTTAGCATGGCCAACAAGGGCCATTTCCAGTTGATTACCAGGAAATACAAGCCTTGGGGGTTACTTAACTACTGGTGAGGCTGTCACCAACTTTGAACTCCAAAAGCCTAGACAGGGAAAAGTGTCAGACCAATGGAAAAGAAATCTAGCCTTTTTACTATTGCACGACATGTCAGTAGGAACCATGCCTTTCAGAACAGAGCAAAAAGTAAATGCAGTGATTATGTAACTTACGAAAAATTGGAAGCGTTCCAGCAAAATAAGGCTTTTTAAAAATAGGTATATTTGTTTTTTTAAAATGTCTATATGAAAAAAAGAGAGGGGTCATATTATGCACAGACTTCGTGAATGGGAATTTGCTACGAATTGTGAGTAGTTCTGAATTAGAAAAATGTGTGTGAATGAAAGGCAGCTTGTAAAGGTACTTGCACCCTGGAGAGTTGTACACATGTTGGCATGTAATCTGGGCTTACCTGATCCATTTGGAATGGACGTTACTGCTGGGTCTCTTTGCACTTGGAGCCCCGGGGGTGGGGTCGCCAGCCTCACAGACACAATCAGTGCTGCTTCCCCAGACATCAGGAACTCCTCTGGAGTGACCGAGTCTTGTCACAGAAGGCAGCCACCATTTCACTGGAACAGAAGTTCACAGCATTGGATTCTTTTTTCCTTTAACTCTTTATATGCTCAGTACTCTCAGTAATATCCAGTAATACTTCTTTTTATTAATAGTTACAGGCTTGTTGGTCCAGTGGGATTTGAGTGGGGGTGGGGGGAGGATACCTGCTAAAATGGATCAACAGAACCAAAATAATACTGCATGTTCTATAACCACAAGGAAATCGAATGATCCTGTAAAGATTCCAGTTAGTCATAACTACATTAGCAGTGCTAATTTCATTTTAGAAATGGTGACTTCTGTGGTTTTGCTAGCATTCGTCTCTAACAAATGATAAAATAATTACTCATGGCCCTCTCTGCCACTGTCTTTCATTTTTCACAGTGAAATTAGACCCCTTTACTTCATTATGCCACTACAAATTAAGTTTGGGGAAAAAAAAAAAAGGCAAGACTATCCACACCAGTAGACAGTATGCTTCTCTACCGTTAAGTGATGGAATTGTAGGTAATGTTGGCCACAGAGTTTCCAAGACAATGATTGGTATCAGAGAGTTTTCTTCTTGTCCAGAAAGTGCTGGTGGCCTTTTATGGTGGTGGTAACAACCCTCCGGGGGCTTAGGAGAATGTCGATGCAATTTTGTAGCAGCTTTTAATTAAACAACAACAACAACAACAACTCAAAGTCTGAAGGGCAGCCTTAGCTGCCTCTCAGCCCCAGTAAGTCAAACCCCAGCGACGTTTGCCCCTGGTTGCCAAGGGCTTTGCAACATGAAGCAGGGAAATAAGGATCTGTCTGTTTAGTGGATACCGTGTATCCTTTAATAGACCAGGTAACAGTTCGTGTTAGTTTAGACTATTGTTTTGTACTGTACTTTCTTGGGTGGCAGAGGAAAGAAAAGTAAAACGTTAAAAAGAAAAAAAAAAAAAAACTGCGTTCTTTAATTCTGTATTATTAGCGACCTCTGTTGTATATAGTGTTTGATAATAAAGTATTGATTTGATTCTTATGTCTTTTGTAAGTGAGAACAATAATCTTTCAGGATACAAAACATGCATTGAGGTTTTGAAACATCCACTGTATACGTAGCTGAGAAGAGTCACAAATGGCTAAGACACTGCTCCATACAGGACTCATGTGCAGTCATCGCCCTCCCAGTCTTAAGACTCCACCATCTTGGGACCCGGAACAACATGGCTTTTTTGATCCATATCTTATCCTCAGTGTTTTCAAGGTCTGATGTTGGAGCCCTGTGGTGTTTTTTCTCCCCCGGCATGTTGGCTTAAAAAGGCTTAGGGAATCTGGTGACAGTTCTGTACTTCGGCTTGGTTTTCTGTTTGTGGTGGTTTTCATAGACGGTTTCATTTTTCCCTCAGGACGAGCTGCCGGTATCAAACGCAGCCCAAGCATGGGAAAGGTTTCAAGCCAGTCCATTTAGGCAGGTTAAATGGGGGCTGTTGCCCTCTGCCATTGTGAGAGGAAGAGTCGTACAGTACCTGTGGGTTTTCAGGGACTTTGTTTTTCTCTGGTGCCTTAGCAACGGCAGCAGCCATTTTTAGGAGTTTACCCCAAATTAATTAAACCATTTAAACCCCCTCCATTCATTGCTCTCAGAGCTGCGGTCAGTCGTTTCTCTTTTGAAAACCACCTCCACCAACACCCCCGTTTGCCTACCACCAGCCCCCCTTTTATTTCTTACGTTTATTTATTTTAGTTTTTTGTCTTCTTGCCTTCCTCCCACGTTTTACTTTCCTTCAGAACCGTGAATGGGCAGGTCTGGCTCTGGTTTGGCATCGCTGAGTTCTTCCCATGCATTTGCCCAAGAGCTGCTCGGATGTGAGACGAATCCCCCCGCAGTGGGCTTGCTCCCATTGTCTGTACAGGCTAATAGATGCTGGCATGTTGGAGGTTACCCGTGAGTCCAAATCCGCTTTCCATGCTTACTCTTGACACCCCATCGAAGCCACTCATCGTGTGTGCGTCTGGGTGCGAAGTCCAGCTCCGTGTGGTCCTGTGTGTGCTGTACTGCCCTGCTTTGCAGTTCCTTTGCACTTACTCATCGAGTGCTGTTTTGAAATGCCGACATTATATCAACGTAAAAAAAAAAAAAATGTAAAAAAAAAAACAACCCCACACAAACCAACCCATACAATCTGTATTTGTATATACACGTGTCCGTACAAGTATACCTAAATAAAAATTAAAGATTTTCATCATTTTAATTGGAGCCCTCCTTCTACTTCTTTGTTCCTTGAATGACGCCTTTATTTCAGGGGCTACTTACACTCTGCTGATTTTTCCAAATCTTTGTGGCTAGAGAAGATAATACGTTACGTACAAGAGAAGGCCTGAGACAAACTCAAAGAATGCAGGGTTAGAAAATGGCCCGGTATCTAGGCACATGCCAGTTATTCTGATGAGAAAATGGTGAAATTCAAGCCATGTCTTTGTATTTGAGCCTTAAAATAGGCACTATGGCAAGCCCTGCATCCTAAAACCACTTAAATCCAAGAGCTACGTACAAAATTATGTTCTTTCACTTTGTAGTTTTTCACCCCATCAAGACAAAGACAAAATAAGCATTTTTCCAACAAGCATCCCATACTTCAGAGAGAATTAATGACAGTAATAGTAATCACTTCAGTACAACACTGAAGGTTAGTGCTATCAAGGAAGACTTAACTTACCGGTGTGTAACCTTGTGCAAGTCACACAGTATCTTTGGGACTCCATTTCCCTATCACTAAGTAATAAGAGTTATGTAAGTGATTTGGTTTTCTGAATATTGCCCTTGCTGGGCACCACAAAGCCCATTTGGCATCTCAGTCATGTGAGTTTTTGTCTTTGATGATGACATTACTATAAGCACAATTTGAAAATCTCATCTGTAGAGGGGGGAAAGCATCAAATATCTGATATAATAGACACCTAATGCATTTCAAGACGTGGCTTTAATTATACCATGTTAACATTAAACTCATTGAAAGCTTTTTATTATCTTTAATTATTTGGCAGGGCACTAAACACTAATTATAACTTACTGTAACCTTTTTTTGCTAATGAAGAATGACAGCTTTACAGAATGAGGAACAACTCATATTTAAAAAAAAGAAAAAGGTGTACTGGACTGCCTATGTGATATTTTCAAACCAGAACAGCATTACGTGGTCATTATCATCTTCACCTTCATCATCAAAAGCATTTAAGTGATCATGACATTGTGCTCAGTGCTGTGCAGAATGAAGTTAATGTTTACAATTTGTACTTTCAAAGTTTACAAAAGGCAGACATTATGTGTAAGCATAACATAGTAACTATTCATAGAGGAAATCTAAAGTTCAAACATTTATATTATGCATAAGTAAGAGGAGATTAGGATTTGAAGATTAAGAAGCTTAGAGCGAAAGTAAATCATCTTTACAAATAGTCAAAATGGGGGTTAGGAGCTGCTTACAAAACAGGAAACTTGGTGAGTTAAAAACTACTGTGGGCTTTAAGAGAATGATGAAGTGTCACTGAAGCAAATTATGAAGATACTAGTCCAGGGAAATCACCCTAGTGCCCTAACAGAGGAGGGGAAGTGATGAAAAGATGACAATTTTAGATTCTGCCTTAAACAAAGCTCATGCTGCTCTCCTGAATCTGAGATGGTATCTACACCAGACTGTGAGAGGTCTAGGACCTCAGCATAAGGGTAGGCTATATAACACTCAGATTAGAGGAAAGGGATAAAGTGTAGAACATGTAACATCAGGGACTAATACAACTTCAAAGTGACGGTGACTCCCTGATGAAGAGGCCACTTCCCAACAGACAGTGCTGTACACTCTAATGGGAAAGCAGGCAGGACCAGAAGTGGGACTATGAGCAGTGCTGCACAAACCACACTTCGATTTGTTTGGCAACAAGTATTTAGAATACTTGAGTCATCAAAGGTGCTATATAAAAAATCACAGGGTGAATTTGAGTGAAGAAAACACACCTGTATTTGGATCTCTTATCTCAGTGATAATGATGAGAATCACCTCTCTTACTATGGGAATGTATGAAATCTAGGTGTCATAAAAATTTTCAAGGTGATTCTGATGGATTATTCACTGATTGTTCTAATAGTTTCTTAGGAATTGTTTGCAAAACATTTTCTTAGAGATCGTTTGCAAAGCTTACTTTCATATTCTGATAACAGAAGCATTCTTCAGGAAAGCATTGGCAAAAATGCTGTGAAAAGCATTATGAGTTTTACACAGCCCCTCTGGAAAACAAGTGCTTTAGAAAATGATTATAAATAACTAATCAGGCCAATATCCTCTATCAGTTTTTAGTTTGACACATTCTGCTATATTAAGTCCAATCATTCAGTGGTTAAATATATATGTGTGCCTTTTTTATTCTTTTAATTTTTTTTTTGAGTAAGCTCTACACCCAATGTGGGTCTTGAACTCACAACCCTAAGATCAAGAGTCATATGTTCTACCAAATGAGCCAGCCAGGTGCCCCTCTGTGTGCCTATTAAAATGGAGTTGTAACTGCAGATAGACCCTGTGAGCAGGAAATTTGCAGTAACTGTGTTTCTTTTTTTATGCAGATGATAAATGAATGTACAAGCTTTAAGAAAGAGAGAAAGAGAGATAGAAAGAGAGAAAGAGAGAGAAAGAGAGCGAGAAAGAAAGAGAGAGAAAGAGAAAGAGAGAAAGAGAGAAAGAGAGAAAGAAAGAAAGAAAGAAAGAAAGAAAGAAAGAAAGAAAGAAAGAAAGAAAGAAAGAAAGGAAAAGAAAGAAAAAAAAAAGAAAGAAAGAAAAGACAGAGAGAGAAAAAGGCAGGGAATCACATTGCCCAAGGAATTGGTTAAGGGTATCACCAAGGGTTCCTTTGCTTTGAGGGAAGGGTGGTTAACCAAACTACGCTTTTAAAAAAGGCAAAAAAAAAAACAAAAAAACATAGCATCTGAGTAAACAAAGGGCTTACAAATTCTACTTCTAAGCAAGTAGAATTTCCCAAAAGGAACATAGCTTCTAAGCCTTTCTCATATAGAATTTCTGGGGCCACCCCTTAGAAGTAGGCAGAAGAGAAGGGTCTAAAGGCCTCATGTTCAGCATATCCCAATGCAACGACTCTTTCGATGATTTCCATCAAAGACTATCACTCTCTCCTCCCAAGAACCTCAGTACATGCTGAGAGTAAAACACAATTTCATTACTTTTTATTAACAACCATCCCCAGCTCCATTCCAAGGGTCTCATGAGTTCTGTGATCCTCCACCCAGCAATGGTATTGGTTAGGGTCCACCTTGAGGCAAAGTCAACAGAAGAGTCCACCTACCTCCTTTCAGTTCCCCTTCTTGTGGTCTACTTTTTGACTTGGTTTAACTCCTAACTGTGGGGTTTTCTGCAACATTAAAGAAACCTTTTAAGCAACACCACCCATATCATAACGCCCTGGGGATGAGGATGCCAACACCAGAGCTGGAGCAGGGACAAGGGAGGCCTTGAGAGTTTGGGGTCCAAGGACTACCTTACTGATGCGGCCAGTCAGAGTTAACTCATAAGAATCCAATCTAGTGGGTGTCTGAGTCAGTAACAGATTTCGAAATATCCTGGATTTTAGTCATGATTATTCAAGCTAGAACTTCATGTCACTGGGTAACACATGGATGCTTGTCAGTCTTGACAAGAACACAAAGAGAGGGACCAAAACAAACAAAAAAAATCTTAGAGTGATTACAATGGGAAAATAGAACAAAATATTTTTGCATGCTGTTTTGTTCAGAAGTACCAGGTGCTCCCACAAACTGCACAGAGCATTTGAGATGTAGATAGCCGACATCACTTTCTTTCCTTCACAGCCACGAAACAAGACACTAAAATGAGAAAGAACATGTTTCTTCCTACACCCAGCTTAGAAAATGCGTTTCATCAACACCCTAGTATCCTCTCCTTTTTGTGTTCAAAGCTTGTTCTTTTGGACCAAAAAATAAACAAAAAACCAATTTGTGTAGCACAGGATGTGGAACATGTAACTCTCCTGAAATGTGTGCTTTGCTTTACTAGATCTGGACACATTTTCTGCAGTAGACAGAACAAGAAGATCTGTGCCTTTTTTTATTTTTTCCTAAAGACAGGTGTGCCAGCCAGAAAGCTGACTCCATTTATTTCTCCAGCGTGTTCCTTCTCCTGGAAGATGCAGGTACTTAAAATAGTAATAGGCTTAGTGGTTTATCGAGAGTATTTCATCCCAAGATCTCACAGGCATAAAGAATAAAACATAAACTAATGGCTCTTTCCAGCAAGCTTGGGAAGAATTAACTGGAAAGGAGGATTGTCATCATTCTTCCCTGGAGAAAAGGAGAAGAAAGCAACTTAACTCAGGTAGCCCAGGGAAAGAACCAAAGTCAAGTTGATCCGAGATTTGGACAAAGGCCTCCAGTCTGTTCCTCTTCATTCCTAAGAACTTGATTAAGAGCTCCAGCTTCAGGAAAACAAATGATGCATTATCCCCGACTTAAGTTTCAAATGCAATGTAGTTGGGAGAGGGGCACTGGGCAACTTCCCCAATTTTTGTCTGTGAGTCAGTGGTTTTATTATAAAATGTAACTTTCATTCTGTAATTTCTCAGGATGCCCCAGTTTCTGTGCATATACAAACTTATCTAAAAATTTAGGTAGAATTTAAGAGATGAACAATTTGTATTGTCAGTTCTCTCAGTTTTCCGCTGCCCCACATACACACACTCACACTCTTACATGTTTTCTAAGGTGATGTATTCACAGCATTTTTTTTTTTCTTGGCATTGTCTATGCTGAGCAGTGTGATACTTGGAAGGACACTGAGGGTCACTTCAGATACATTTAAACATCAGTCTGATTAATATCTAAAGCCATAGGGCAGAAATGTGGTGGTGAAAAGCAAGCCAGCTAAGGAACGGCCAGCCAGGCCCTGTGGTGTTCACAGATGTGACTACAGTGTTTAGAATTTCCTAGAGCCCCATTTGTCAACAAAAAACTGTCTGCACTGGTGGGCAGCAACACTTGGCATTCTGAATCCTTGGTGTCTCTTCCTCGACTCAGTTGACTTCCCCACCCACACAGTTCCCCAGTGTTCGAGAACCGGGCAGAGCCATTACACTAGTGTTTGGGCCCCCACCTTTCCTGATCAGTGCAGACCGCTAGGTGTGAGTGTGCAGACTCTGAGCACTGGAGTGCAAGGATCTGTACCTTCAAAGCGCT